AGTAGTACAATGGATAAAGTCAACCTTGCTCAAAGTCAACAATTTTTTTCTGTCTGAGGTGTTGACTTTATCAGAATTCCAGTGTAACTTTTTAAATTTGTAATTAAGAAGACGCTTTTGTCATTGACATGAGTCTCAATTATTTTCCTTGTTCGTAAGAAAGAGTGTAATATGCAATATTTTGCTTGAATGATTTACTCGTTGTCACGACATGGTGGGATCAGGCGCTCGTCAGTTTTGAGGCATACAGAGTTATTGATATCATCTTAAAGCCTGTCCATTTGCCTTGCTTTTTAATTAAAACAATATTCATCTATGCAGAATAGAAGTCGAAATATTTGCGATTGAAGGAGGTGTGGGTCACCTGATTTCAGAGGTAAATTTAGTGAGAAAACGGCTGCCAAAGTTTGATAACTTCAATAGCTTGGGCTTGAGAGCCTTTAAAACTGAAAAATCACGTATTTTGTGCGTGTAATGATTGTTTTTCAGTAAAATTCTCATAGAAATGTGTTATTTTGTGGACGTAAAAGGTGTTGAGCGGAAAAACAAAAATTCAATAAAAGTTCCCAAACCTGTGGAAAAATGACAGTTTTTTTCACTTTCTTTATTTTGACGAGCGGCTGATTTCTCCACGCTGCCTCACAATTGTTTTTTAGTGCATATATTATTAATATGTGCATGTATACATGTTTTTCATGAATATTATGCAATGCGCATAGAACAATGATTGTTTCACGGATTTGCGCGATATAAATGTCATATTATTATTATCACTAAAAGCGAACAATGTAAGAAGGGGAGGGGGGGTCCAAAAGTCCCCAAAAAGGTGTAAGATTATATTTGAACAACCCCTAAATAAACAGCCATCTGTAGAGGTAAGACAAGGGTACCCATGCAAACCAATGATTGGTGACCATGAAGAATAGGGGAAGCTCTTAGAAACAATCGGGGATCATAAATCGAGCGTCTGCCTCACATTAGGTAGAAACAATGAGGTTCACTGCAGAGCATCAAAAAAAGCTGACACCATGATTGTTGGCCAATGGGAAACTGCCCCCAGACAAAGCGGCCCACTGTGGTGTACACACTACCATGTGGTGTACACTGAACTACCATGTGGTGTACACACTACCATGTGGTGTACACTGAACTACCATGTGTGAACTACCATGTGGTGTACACTGAACTACAATGTGTGAACTACCATGTGGTGTACACTGAACTACCATGCAGCGCACGATGACATGCCAAGTATCTCGACTGGAGGCAAAATGCTGAAGACTTGAAGAGGGAACCCACTCTAAAGTACTTGGACGTCACGTTTGATCGCGCCCTCTCTGGCAAAGATCACATCACGAGAACAATCTCCTGGGCGAGAAAAGGCTTAACACTAACAGCCCGTAAGATGATGGCCATTGACAACACTGGTGAAAGTTGGAAGGGGAGAGGAGAGAGCTTTTTGTTGTCCTCATCACAGCAGTGGGAAAGTGTCTTGGAGAAATGACAACAGAGGGAAAGTGTCTTGGAGAAATGACAACAGAGGGAAAGTGTCTTTGTGGAGAAATGACAACAGAGGGAAAGTG